CCACTGTGGCTTTTTTTTTTTTTTTAAATGGCAACTTTTTCATGTGAAATTTGGTTTGGGCATCCAGCCTTCTTACAATAATATTAAAGAACAGGAATGGCATAAGTATTTTTAATTCTAGGAAAGATATTCTCCTAATTTACTTTCTTCATTCAAATTTTTTTTAATCTTTTTTTTTTTTTTTTTTTTTTAAACCTCTCACATGAAGGTGTGCCTCCCCTGACCACACGCACGTCCCTGGAAATCGAGAAAGCATGAGTAATTGATGCCCCCCAATAACAGGTTTATAATTGCCAACTTAATATAGGGAGTTTAAAGCATAAATGTCTCAAACTATAATCCCAAAACAGTTCAATATAATTTCAAATATATTTTACACTTATCTAAAAAAAACAAAAACAAATGGATGATTTCGAACAAAGTGATCCAGAAGTGCGAATGTGTAAGCACACCGACTCTATCTTCCACTGACAACAACTAAAGGTAGCTTTTTGCTGCCATATAAAAATATTCGTCTCCCAATCAAGATGTATGACTCCAACAATACACCAAGTGACTATGTGCCAGCACTTTACTGCAGAACCTGCGTGTAAAATCTCCGCCAACCCAACAATTTTCATCATCATCCCTTCATTGTTCTGTTTTTTCTTAGAGAAATAGTTCAAGTTTCGCCGAAAACCCGCCTGGCCTTGGCAGGTGACGCCTTGGCCTTCCTCACCATCGTCTTGGGAACGCTCCTTTGTTATAATAAAACAAAACAACTTATAAAGACAGTACTACAATTTGGTTTGTATAAAACTAGTTTGTGCCCTAAAATGATAACTTCATTCAGAAGAATTCTACTTTTTTTTTTCTTTCTTCAGTGGTACGATTCTACTGTCATAGAAACTACAAATTTGCTGCTCCTTCCATTCAGACTTTCTGCACGTAATAAAACAAAACAACTTAGAACACAGTACTACAATTTGGTTTGTATAAAACTATTTTGTGCCCTAAAATGATAACCTCATTCAGAAGAATTCTACTTTTTTTTTTCTTTCAGGGGTATGATTCTACTGTCATAGAAACTACAAATTTGCTGCTCCTTCCATTCAGACTTTCTGCACCAAAAATTCACACAAACATTCACACACAGTTATGACTTTTTCGGATAATATAGCAACTTTCTTTGTGTGAAGCTCTAATGTTGTGTCCAAAAACGCTGATTGACTCATACAACTTTGAGCTTTTCTGATAACCGTACGATTTCACTTTCATGAAATGACCAAAAATCTTTCATAAAATGACCAAAAATTTGGACGTCAAATTCCGACTTTTAGTCATGTCAAAATTCAATATTTTGTTCATTCTCCTAAAAATGATGATTTCTTCGATCACCATCAGAGCGTTGTCGTGCCTGTGTGGCCTTGCTCGTCCTCCGAAAGGCTTATCCTGAGAACTGCCGTTGATCTGATTTTTTTATTTTTTAAATTTATTTTGGAGCCCATGAAACAGCTTGGGCAGTCGCACAGGAAACTGTCTCAATCCTCGGCATGGCCCAATGTGTTTCCTTTGAAGGAAGAGCCAAATGAACATTGTGCGTGTGTGTCCCTGATGGTTGAATGTGTGCAGCCTAAAAAAAAAAAAACCCAAAAAAACATGCGCAGGCTCAGGAAATCATGGAAAAGGATCAAAGACTGGGACATTTCAGGACATTTTTTTTTTTTTGTGTGTCACTAAGGACTCTCTTGCTCAGCTCGTCATCCTGTTTCATGACGGCGTCATGAAAGCCTTCCAGACCCTTTTTCATTTCCTGTGAATCCGAGAGCGCCTCTCGGAAGCTGAGCGGAATCAAGAACCTCCACACAGAATCAGCTGTATTCCTAAAAAGACCATTTTAGCATTTGGGGCTTTTGTGACACAGCCGCTTATGTTGTCTCCCATGGGCCACGTGGCTCCTTGTGCAATCCTTTGACACACTTTCATTACTAGCACTTGTGAAGCGGTGCACAGTACACACATCCCCGCAATCAGGCTTAATTTGAGCAGCAAGGTCCAATTATCATTACGATACAATAGAATAAATTTTTGTGCCTGAGAGATTACCTAGGTTGTACTGTGAAGTGGGATGTGATATTCCTATTTCCGCTGCCTGATTTACTTGAAAAAAAGTACCGGCATCAATGGGAAATTATTTTGGCCTGTTTTACTGCCACTTCCCCAATCTAACACTGTACAGCATCATATCAATGTTTTAGAATGTGGGACATCTTTGTGAACCTTTGGCTTGTGACGACCTCGGAAACTCTGGATGAAAGCGATTTCCTGAGACTTTGCTACAATGTAACTTAGTCCTTGTACACTAAAGCTTGCCTAACAGTACGCGCTTGACTGTCCCCTTGAAATAACTCCAGAGTAATTTTACAGCCGGGGAGCCAGTCTGCACCTGAGCCATGAATAATAGATGACTTTTCAAAACAGGCTGCCTAAAATAGCCCACGCACTTGTGTAGCCACACAATTATGTTTTGTTTATCATCAACCACGCGCTTGGATTCAACCTCTGCCACTGAGCGGCCGCTTACCAGCTCCAACCTTGCTTGCTGGATGGCGAGTATTTGTCCATCAGGGCGGTGAGTTTGAGCAGGGCCAGCTTCTGAAGGAGAGCGAACTGGGAGACGGACTGGTGTTCCACGCCCGGGCTGGCTGGCAAAGAGGGAAGGCTCTGCTCACTGGACCAGTGCAGCTGCTGGCTGGCTCGGCTGGGAAATGTGACAAAATGCCAGGAATGCCTTTCATCGAAGAATAGAAGCGATATGCCTGCCCAAAGTATGCTTTCTTCTCTGTGTGTTGCTGCTCTGTTCGTGTGGCTTCAAGTAGCACTTGTTGGAAGACTTGTAATTACTGTCCATATTGTCGATGCTGATTTCCGGTTCCTCACCTGCTCTGGTCTTGCGGCGATCTGGTTTTGGACTCGTCTTCGCTCACCGACGACTTCTCGCAGCTCTCCTCCTCTCCCTCCTCCAAGCCCTCCTCGTCCTCCTCTGAATGCTGCACCTCCAGGTGGATGTGGATCGGGGAGGAAGGGCAGGGGGAGGTGGCGGAGGAGCCGCTGGCAGGTGAGCAGGAGGAAGCAGAAGAAGAGGCGGAAGAGGAATCTCGCTGACAGTCGTCTTCGGATAGACTCTCGGCCCAGGTGGAGACCAGTTGCTGCAGGTCGTTGATCCTTTCCAAAACCGTGTCCAGAGCCGAGAAAACGTCCTCGCTTCCCAACAGTCGAGACACCTGACATTCAAGCAAAATCACAAAATGTAAACATCCATCGCATCGCCATTGTAAGGTAGTGCAGTACTGTGCTATGTAAGAACAATAAAAAAAAGAAACATCATATAACAAGACCGTAAACCATAAATGGTGAGACAGTACCCACCTCGTCCCCCACCCTCTCCGCATCGCTAACACTCCCCCCGCTGCCACCTTCGCTCTCAGAAAGCTGCTGGTTGTCCGGCACGTTGTCGTAGACGCTCAGCCGATGATCCGGTGGGCTTGGTGAGGTGTCGAGCGACGACGTGCCCCGGCGGCAACTGCGTCGTTCTTGGTAACCGTGGAAGCTTCCCGTCCTCCAGTTGACAGCGGATTGATCCATGATGGGGGACAAGAAGGCGTGCTTGTGGGCGAGGGAGGTTGGAAAGGTGCCCGGTTTGTGGCCATTGGGGATGTGGAAGAGCAGGCTGTTGTGGTTCATGTTGTTGTTGTTGTTGTTGTTATTGTGTTGGTCTTTGTTGTCCTGAGAGGGTAAATAAAGGGGTGAATAATGCCATAATAGGTCTCTTTTAAGATAGAAGAAACAAACAGATGTCTGAGAATCGATCCTTGTGGGACACCGCACGGAATATGGGATTATTTCCATTTGTTTCCAGGGGTCTACTATCTTGTTTCGTACTGACCGTGGTGCCTGTGTGGTGGTTGTTGCGGGTCACTCCTTCGCCCATTTCGGTGCGTTTGCAGTTACTCCGGACACGCGTGACCGGGCTGGGCGTGCTGACCGCGCTGCTGCTCTCCGAGTGGCTATTACTGCTGCTGCTGCTCATGGCGTGAGGGGACGAGGGTGAAGAAGATGCACAGCTACGTATAAACATCAATAAAACTTTCATTTAGTGTCGCAGAAACTTTAAATCAACACTTCTAAAATGTTTTCTTTTTTGTTTGTTTCTGTGGCCATGCAAAAAAAAAAAACCTGCAGCTCTAGAAAGGAGCCATGAGGAACACCACCATCACTTGTCTCAATGAGTAAAGCTAGTTCACCAATTCAACAATGCTCACCTCGAGGGGCCTCTTCCATCCGCAGACCCTCGAGCTACCGCAGCCAGATTTGCATGGTTCCTGGGTGCAGAGAGGAGTCCAGTTGTTCCTCTCAATCTCAGTTTCTCCATCTTCCTCAGAAGGCTGGTCCCCTTTTTGCGTGGTGGTTTATCCATGATGTAGACTTCCAGACTCGCAGTGGACGATCCTCCACCACTTCTGTCTCCAGGCGACGGGGGTCCGCTGAACGACATGTCGAGGGACGGGGTCTTGTTGGACGAGGAGCAGCGCGAGGAGCTCCGGCTGGTGGCCTGGTCGTCCGCGATGCTTCTGTTAGGATCGGCGCCCTCTTTTGGACTCTTTCGGTTTTGGCGTTCGCTCTCTGTGCTGCTCGAACTGCGAATGGAGCAGACATCGTGGCGGTCGTCGCGGTGGTCATACAAAGACACGTCCTGCGGGAAGCTTGAGGCATCAGATGAGTGGAGAAATTCCGTCGAGGAATCCAGGCGCCGCCATTGTCGCATCAGCCTGTCGTGCGTCCACCTGGGGCTAATGGCGCAGAAATCGTCCTCGAGAAAGTCTTCATCGCTCTGAAAGCCGACACCACAATTGTACAATAATCATCTGCAACACACGTCGAAAATCAACACAAGCAGCAAACGACAAGCTCTCAAGCAAAATCATTCCTGCATCCTTCCCCCCTCTCAATAACTCACTTGATGTTTCGCTTTCGGCAGGTCCAGCCTCATCTCCGCACATTTGTTCAACGTGATCAGTCGCCTGCAAGAGGAAGATGAAGTTAGTCAAAAAGTGATGCAATTCAATGGTCACCTGGCAAATGACGGCAGCAATGCCGCATTGGCGACATAGCCAGCAATCAGGTAAATATAATACGTTTTTGATTGCAACATGTCTAAAGCACGATATTTCTTCAAAGGGAAGCTGAGAGCTGTCCAATTTTCAACCTTTAGGCGGACAAAAACTGCTGGATAATTCATTCATAGTTAATACGACATGCTCAACAACACCACATTTCCACTGTTGCCTACAGCTAAGGTTTTATAGTTCAAAATAGCTGCTAAAACATATTTCAAACAAGATAAAAATATTGCTCTTTTGGCACTTTTTTCAACATTTTAAACTCCAATCATGTCCTGGGGGAAAATAAGTGAGCCATTTGTTTATTTCCCAGCTTGCATAGAAAAATGCCAATTTAGAATGAAATGGCTTTAATGACATTGCTTAACAGCAAGGCTTATGGCCACTTCATTTTCGCTATTTCAATGGGTTGCAGAATACAGAAAGGAACGACATTGTCAAGGAGAGTAACAAAGATTGTGTATGTTGTTCCTTCCTACCACTGCGCTGTTGACGCCAGTCGGTTTCATTTACACTTGAAGCAGTTCTGACTTTGCCCTCTATTGGCAAGTTTCACTTCTATTAGCTGCCTTGTTTAGTTCCCAGCAGGCAGTGTATCATGACTTTTCTGGCACTTTTAATCTACTGTGACATCCCGCCAAAACACAACTTTGGAGCCGAGAGAGAGCTCAAATGTGAGCCGCTGTCCAAATCTCATTAAAGCTGAGCAGGGAAAGCCACGGTGACTTGCAAAGTGGTTCAAGGACTCCCAAAGTGGCATTCGATGCCTTCTTTGTGGCATGTCATTTGCAAGTTGAAGCCAGGCTCTGACGTGGTGTCAGCAACAGACCAAAAAACAACAAACAAACAAACAATGCAAACAAAAATTCCCCAATGTCATCATCCCAAGTGTTACCTGCTGAGGGAATCCAGAGCATCTTTATCCAGGAAGTGGTGATCCCTCTTGGCGAGCTCCACATCGATGGGAAACCTGCAGTCTGACACGCCAACATATCAAGCTTACTTTTGGATTGAGTCTGACCGATCGATGCTGGTTTTGACTTTTAACCGGTTTCAAAATGATCTAATCCAACGACAGCAATGTGAGACTCTAGGTAGCTCCCCATCTATGTTCCAAAGGTGTTCCACAAGGCTCAATACTGGGTCCTGTCTCGTTTCCGATCTGCCAGCAAGCCTTTGACGTACTGCAACAATCGCTTTGTGTTCTGAAACTGGCACATACTCCGAAATCTATGCTGCAGTACTACAGGAGGCTCGTCGATCAGTTTTGGATTAGGGTGACATTGTGGAGACCCTTCCTGTCTCCAGACTAAAACCACTGGACCCGACACAAGATAGGCACTGGCTTCGTCTTCCTTGACAAAGCCTTGAATGGCAACGTGTGGCTGTACATATAGATCTGGTTTCTGAACAAACACTTCAAAAATATAATCAAGGCTCTATTTTGCCTTTGATTGCAATCGACTCCTCACTGGAAATCAGAAATTGGCTCAATGGTCCTTCAAGGTACAAACAGATGGTTATTTACCTTTGAACAACTGCGCGTACTGAGGAAAGCCGGCTGCTTGTAGCCAATCGCAGGCCTCCTTGGCCTCAATCTCTGCAAAGAAAATAAACACAACAATTCTTGAGTTGATGGCAATCACGTCATGCTCGGACAGCTTTAAGTGTACAAATATTTGCACTTAATCAGCCATCTCTTTATGAGCTTTGATTCAATTTAAGTTGGAAACAAGCTGGGGACGCAGACTGGCAATTAATTATCTGTGACAATTTTAATTACCGCTGACTGGCGGAGGGCGAAAAAGGGACTCTGTCTGAAAAGTATCCATTCGTTTTCTCGAGTGTTTGTACTCGTGCGCGAACTGGAGCCTATCCTAGCTTACTTTTCCTTTTCTCTTGAACAACACTTTCATGGCATTTCCCGGCTGGCTGTCCTGAGCGTAGAAGGCGCCGATGCGGGAAAGGGAATTTGCAAATATTCGGGTCAATAAATCCCAGCTCGGATGCGATGCCAATTTATTAGGAATGCAGCGTGACAACGTCCAAATTTAGCGGGGGCTTAAACTTAATATATCCATGGTGCTTTTTGCACTTGAGCAAATGAACGTTACCGACCTCGACGAGAGGAAAAACGGCATATTACTACCTCAGGTATATTCACCCCGACCAGTCAAAAAATCCCCTTGGCTGAACCACTGAGCTTATTTCGGGAGGCCTTACGATGGAGATGTGACATTTGAGCTTGAACTGGGATCAAGCGTGCTCGCCGAGCAGGTCGCAGATGCTCACGGAAATCCAAAGGGATATGCCGATACAGTATGTGGATGTTAGAGCCCTGGACTTAGCAAGCCCCCCCACTAAACCACAGAGAAACGGTAACTACCTTGAGGGTCGCACACAGTATTTAAGCACTTCAGTCATCCAAGGCCCAATTACTGGATGCTTCTTTAAAATCATCCTGAAAATTGTGTCGAGAGGAGCGTGTTGCAATCAGCTCTGAAAATGTTTGCTGCCAACAATGGAAGACGTTCAAGCGGTGTCCAGTAAACAAAACCCGATGATCACGCTGAATCTTGTCTTGTCGGAAGAGAGACCCCCCCACCCCAACTCCACCCCCGCCCCGCACCCTGATCTGTTCAGAATGTCAGGGTCGACATTTGTAAATGTTAAACCCCTTCACTAATTATGAAGGCAAATCCTTGTGCGGTCAAAGTGGTTCAGCCAAATCAGTCATAACCAAGATAGAGTGGTTAGACACCCCCCCCCCCAAAAAAAATCCCCCTTGTCATCTGTGGGTCTCTCACATCTTAAAATACAAAAGTCCCTTTCAGACACTCTCCAGCATCTTCCTGACCTTCACGCAGAGCACTTAATACATTTGCCCAGAAGCCAACGATGAGTTCACTGAGGGGTAAAACAGGTGAATGTTTCCCCTCCCTGCACTCACATGTCAAATGTTGGAAGCAAGAGAAAGGCGGCGGCGGCGGGCGCCCGGAAGGATTTGCTCATGCGCCTTCCTGACGCCTGGTGACACATAGTCAATGACATGAAGTCGAGTTGTGTCTGATGTTGACTCTCAAGCTGGAAATCCAGCTTGACCAGAAATGACAACTGCCAAGACACATTTCCAAAGGGAAGGCAAACGGCATGAGGACGAGCGCAACAGAAACTGCGCGGCTGGACCACATGTGAGGTTTTCTTTTTTCTTGACAATATTTCTCCGGTCCTACGGGCCAAAAAACAAAATGGCGGCTTCCATATGGATGTTGAGAACTTCCCGGGCGTTGCCTACGGAGGCTGGGCCATGTTTCATCGCACATCCAAATCTCTTATCGGAGTCCGGAGGGGCCACACCACCAACTTCCTATGACACATACACACAGTCATGTAGAAAGCCGACCGGGCTAATAGCCAAACGGGAGCTGGGCAGATAGCATTGCTGACGTAAATACAAGGGTGCCGGGGGGGGGGTGAATGAATGAACGCCAGGGCTGGGCTTGACACTTCATTGTGGTTTCTGACAGGTGTGGTTTTCTTCCTTGCCTGCGCTTAAAACTTCCACAAACTAATTAGGCCAAGCGTGAATTAGCGTCATTTTCAAAGCTATGCGCTCTCCTGCTTTTCTATTTCTGTCCATTTGGATTTTTTTTTTTCCCTCGCTTACATAACTCACCGACAGATGAGATTTGGGGGGGCATATTCCGACAGTATCGCACCTTCAAGGGGCGGTTTTGATTTCCTTATCGCTTGTTCGCTAGTTGCTGTGAAGTCCTTCAGCTAGCGTCCCGTTAGCTGCAATTGGGCACGTCTTCAAAGTCTTCTACCCGGAAACCCTCCCAAAAAGGTCACACGTTTTTGAAGTCACGAGCGCGGTTGATATTTTGCTTTGTGCTGCGAGCCAAATTTGAGTTCCGAGCAATCTTCAGAAACACCACTGCTCGAGTGAAGTGGGGGGGGGGGGTCCAATACTGTATCGCACAGTCAACAATGCCATTTTTAACAGTCAGGGATAAACACGCAAATCGCTATTCGAAGAGCATAATTGCCAAACGCACTTCTAACTGACTGTCACAACATCAATATAAAATAGCAGTGTCCTTGCTAAAAATGCTGGGGGGTGTTTCTCTTCTGTTCTCTGGAGATTCTCGGTCATCCAGGTCATGGAGGAGCACCCAATCTTTGTGTGCCAAATGTATTTTTTGTGGACTCAACAAAGCCAGGATGATACCTTGATGTATTTTGCTTGTCCGCTTTGATTGTGAGAGATGCCCCCTCAACACCCCCAACTCCATCTTAATTTCCCGAGAGAAAATGTAATCACATTCTGCATAAATATGCACCAAAAAAAGCTCTTAATTAACCTCTTGACTAGTGTTTTTTTAACCTCCTCTATTCCCTGAAACCTCCCGTATTTTACTGAAGAGCAAACAGCAAGCAAAAAGCAGGAGCAAAGGGCTGTTTGTCAATTTGTTTAAACATCTCTTTTCCAAGGACATTTTGTTAAGAGTCTGGCCAACTTCCGCATGCTGAAAGACACGTTGAAGTTACACAGGTAAGGAATCGACAGCACATCGCACAGCGGACATCGCTAACACTCAGGATGATCTTTCACAGACACCGCAGAACCTGGCCTTTGCTCACCCTCCCTACGGCGCGAGATCATCGGGCCTCAGGATCATCTTTTAGACAACATCAGGTCATCGGGGCCTTTGCTGACTCGGATTGGCAGAGGGAGAAATGCTGAAATTCAACCACATTATCGATCACGCGTGTCCACCGCGGGATCATCGGGCCGCAGCATGACTGCATGGAGACCGTCAACAATCTGGCTTCTGCGTACTAATGCCAGCACTCTTGTTGCCATCCGTTGCTAACAACACTTGTACAAAGTACACTCCAGCGGAAAGATTGCTCCATTGAATACCGCCCCCCCCCCACTTCCCCCCCAACTTCCCCCCGCGCCCCAAAAGAGTTTGTAGTTCCGCGCCGAGCTCTAATGAGTTGAGATAAACCCTCCCGAGTTAGGGTGAAGCAAATTGGAGCGACGGCTGGGGAATTGTTGTTTTTTTGTTTTTTTTTTTCTCCCTCTTCCCCAAACAAAACAGATCGTGATGCGGCGTCTTGTTGATTCCTTTTTGCATTTGTAGCCGCCTCGCTGTATACGTGATCAAGAATGCTCTCGACTCCAACTGACAGGAAGACAGCACAAAGAGTCTAAAAAGTGTCTACACGGATGAACCACTGATTGGAGGGGACAAACAAAAGAACTTAGTTGGTGATAAGTCTGTAATTTCGCTGCAGAAGTTCAACTCCACTGAAGAGCAGCACTTTGGAATCCACATTTCGTGCGTAAAACTCTCTCAACAGAAAAACGCGACAATAAAGACAAAACAGGAACGAGAGTGACATGGTTATTTGTTGTTGTTGTTGATTTTCAAACGATTTTCGCTTTGTGCCGCAACATGCCAAGTAGCAGACGATGAAGGCATAAGAAGACGAGGCAGAGAAGGTCCCCAACCGAGATTCAGTCATCGTCGTTACCAAGGAGCAGAGAAAATGACTGCCGGTCAGCAGTGATGTGTGAACTGTTTGTATGTAACGCTGCTCGGTGTAGGTCTAAGCAGCAGGCATTCGAAGGTTTACAATTACCGTTACGCCGATGCTAGTTTCTATTAGCCCACCGACCACCTTTCGCATGCTAGCATTACAATAGAGGACTTTCTTTGGATGGAATAACATGGTTTGGTTGAACATATGTCTTTTTTTTTTTTTTTTTTTGCATCTATATTATTTCTGGGCATGTTGACCCTGGGGAGAAAAAAAACAAAGCGCAAAACTGCGTAATAAGGTTAAGAGTCATTTGCTTTTTTTCTAAAAAAAAACATTGGAAACAATTATCGGATTTTGGAGATTTTATTTTAAAGCCATAATGCCCCCCCCCCCTCCACAGGCGTACAACCGACATTTTTGCACTTTTTAACCTGATCGTGGCTCTCGTGAAAAAGGAAAAAAAAAGCTCCCACTCTAGCAAACAGACGTTGGCGAAGGACACACTTACAGCAGGCAGAGGCTGCATCGGCGTCTCATTAATGACTACTCACGATGCTAATTAAATGCCAATCGCCCGCTTAGCTCGTGGAGGCCTATTAAATAGCAGCTGCCATCAAAGACAAACATTCTATTATTAGTCAAACGCATACTCACTTGGGATTAACATGCTTGAAGCTTATTAGCAAACTTCCATTTGGATGGGATAAAATGCAGCCCACCAAAAAAAAAAAACAAAAAAACAAAAAACAAAACAAAAAAAAAAAACAAAAACAAAATAGGGAGTTTAAAAAGAATTAAATCCAAAGTGGGAAATATATATCCTGAGTTGGAGCGCCGCAGTTAAGTCCTGATGTGTTGCTTGTGTCGGGCATCACGTTCATAAAGTCATTGTTCACCATTTCCCCTCCCTGCCACTCCTCTTCCTCTGGTCAGGACCAGACCATCCAAACTGCAGGGGAAAGGAGGTGGGGGGGGGGTCTGTGTCCTAAAAATAACCCTCTTGAGTAGGGGGAAGAATTGTTGAATATTTCTGGGAATTTTTTTTTTTTTATAACATAACGGCATGCCGGGCAGGAGGGTCATTTCGGAAAGTCAAGTCAGTTGCAGCAAAGTTGTCGCCCACATGGATTTTTTAAAAATATGGCTCAGAGAAAAAAAAAAAAAAAAACACGCCAAAGTTTAATCGCTACATACTGCCAAGGTCAAATTTGACCCGTCTTGACGGCAGTACAAATACTGTAACTCAAATGTCGATTCTTTCACCCTGGGATTTGACGACTTTGGCTGCAGTGATCCAAAAGACATCACATTGGAAATATTTCAAGTCCCTGCAAAATGAAAATAAACGTCTTCTACATTTTCACAGAAAAGTGTCCATATTGGAATGATTAAAAAGAGAAAAAAATCAAATGCTGCTTCAACATCAAGCAGTTCTCTCCCCTCCTCAGTGCTGTGGGCGTGTCCACTCAAAGTGTTAAAACCACGATCCGCTCAACTGTCAACCGCTAATCAAATACCAGGATGCTAACGACATGTTTGAACTGGGAAAATGTTTCTGCCCGAAGCCTCCGGCGCCTGGACTATATCCTACCAGGTTGTCGTACAAGTTTTCAACACCGCAACAACGAGGCACTCTACAGCAGCCACACCAGAGCTCACGTCAGACTTCTTTTTGTTGAACTTTTTACCCCTCGCTTGACACCAATTTAAATTGTAAATCAACAGTGCGATCAACAGAAGCATATTCCTTTCACATTCTCCTGAGACGGCTAACGCTTTGCTTTTCTCCAGTTCGGAAAAAGTCGTCAGGAACTTTGTGGGGGGGAAAAAAAAAATCTGAAGGAAAGAATAAAAACCATTGCACGGTCACGTCCATTAGCACAACAGCGCGTGATTTCATTGTCTCGGATTGTACGATTAACAAAGAGCGAGAACAAGGTCATTAACAAGATTAGCAATGGAAAAGCAGCATGCAACTAAAATGAGAAGGCGTCAAGTCCTCGGCGTGCACTCAACACAGCCTGTACGGGACTTCTTCGGGGTTTCATCAGCACTCAGTTCAAGGTATACCATTAGCGCTAATGGCCTTGCATCTATCGCGTAGGTGTTTGCGTTCGGGCTTTCAAATGTGAGTAAACTCTTAAAAGAGCCGAAGCGAGGTCTCGGCGAATCGCTACATTAATTTCCGAGTGGTGGAGCAAAAGAGCGTCTCATCAAGTTTTCCCAGAGTTCGTCGAGAGGAGACGCACGGCGCTGCCGCAAAACTTTCCGTTACATTCCTCCATTTGAAAACAGATTTCTGGAGCTTTGTCTCCTTATTTCGTCAAAACAGGCCCGTGTGTGTGTGTGTGTGTGTCCCCCGCGTTGGGCTTTGTCATTTAAAATCGATTGCGCTACTTTGACCGATATCGTTTTTTTTTTTTACACTACTTAAGTCCAGAAGCTGAGTACATTTGCCACCACGGAGAGTTTCCAGCATTAAGTCGGAATACTTGAGCGTTTTCTGCCCTCGTCGACAACGCAACTCTGTCGTAAACCGAGGACCCGTCATTGATTATTCGGTCAGAGGTCCCAGACTGTCGGACAAGTTACACTTTTCTGGCAACTTCCTACACAACCCTCAACTTTGGCCTCCATTGGTAAAACACGTCTAGACCAGGATCGATCGGGGGGGGAAAAAAAAGACTCTCTCTTTCTGTATCTGTGTGGAAAGGTTACACAAGACTGCATTTCCTTTTCCTGAGGCTGGCGGGCGTCAGAAGAGGAAGAATCTAACAATACTCCCAGCGGATGGGAGTTTCACAGTGTGTGTGTGTGTGTGTGTGTTCCAGCCAGGCAGTCATACGCTTGCGAGGGGATGTGCGTGACATGTTTACCCCAGCAAACTTCGCATGGCTGCTTACTTGTGTGCTCTGGGGTGTGTCCCAATTCACTGGTGTGTGTGTGTGTGTGTGTGTGTGTGTGCGTGTGTGTGTGTGTGTGTCTAATCTGAAGGCAGCTTCAGAAGCTTTGGGGTTCGGCATTTCCGACTCAGTCGGACAGGAAGCGTCCTTCCCTCTTGAGTTTTGGCCTCACCCTGTGCGCAGCGCTCCGTTTTGAGAACGTGTGACAGTAGCGTTAGCTTTCACCATCCAAAAAGGGGGACGAGTCCTGGCTGCTCAGTCAGCTAGCTTGCCGATGAGCGAAGCATTGGAATGAGGTGCGTCTAAATCAGGCAGGAGATGTGGCCCCTCCAGGCCGGGCACGAGTTGGTGCCTCCCCATGCAGTCGACGCGCGCTCACATTCACACCTCGAAACAACTCGGGAGTCTTTTAGGAAAGAGACTCCAACCCTGAACCTCCAAACGAGAAGACAGAGATGCTAACCACTTAAACATGGCCGATTCAAATCCAAACGGCGGACTTCCTGTTCATTCGGGCAGCCCTTGAGACTTTTGCCCGCGTCCTAGTGCGACCGGCGCGTTCACCTCATTTTCTGTCAAAAAATAAAATGTGTTTATTAAGGATCGCAAAGCGTCAGAAGCAAGCTGACTCGTGAGGTTCTCCCGAGCCAAGGACCACATCACAAAGTGTCCTTGTTGACGACACTATAAATAAAGTGTTTTTGTTCAGGTGCTTGATGGAAAGCCGGCGACGCTGCCAGGCGCCTGCGCAGCCTCAGGAAGCGTCTTCGGAGGATGGGATGCTATTACCGGACTTACAGCCCGATTCGGGTTTGCAAATTCTAACCCAGCCTTGGAGTGAAAAAAAAAAAAAAAACCAAAGCAAAACAGTGAGTCAGGTCACTTCCCACCTGAAGCCATTTGAGGCTTCGGTGGAAGTGTAACGCGGGGGTCTGTGGTGCCAACCTCAACTAAATATAGCCGCACAAAGCTTTGAGTCATGGCCGCTTTTGGGTACAACTGAGCACTAAATAAGGATGTGTGAAGCTGGTTGCTTCACACACACACACACACACACACACACACACACACACACACACACACACACACACACACACACACACACACACACACACACACAATAGAAAAAAAAATCCATTTGGATGCCAATTATGAGCCTCGTGTTTGCCGTCATATACTGTAACCCTTCTGGGTATTGGATTTGCAATTATTGAGTGAGAAAGGTAGTATTTTTTTTTTATATATTAGAAGGTCAACAGTGGCTTGGATGTCTTTGTTCAATTGTGTTGGCAGCCCTTTGTTGCCAATAATGGTGACTTTGAAAAGACGAGTCCAAATCTGAAAAATGTTCACCTTCAGCGAAAAGCATTTCACTTGCAAAATCAAAGTCTTGACTGCGGTCGGATTTACGATGACAAACCTTTGGCCCGCATTCTTTCGGGTCCCTCGGTGACACCGCCAAGCGAGCGTTTAGCAAGAGGAAGTCTCTGCCCAGAACACGGCGATCCGCGCGACAAACGCAGACTTCCATCGAAGCGGCCGTGGAACCGTCCTGGCTGGCCCGCTCGGGAAATGCCTCAGTGATTAATCGCCGCCTTCCGGAGAAGACCGCCCGTGATTGTTGTCGCTCGTCATTTCTGCTCGTCTGTCTAAGGTTGGGGGGGTCACTCGTGCCCTGTGATTGACTGGCAAGCAGGCCAGGGTGGACTCGGCTTCTTGAGCGAATGTCATCTGGCGTGAACGCTTTTCTATCCCTGCAGCGGGCCCGAAATTGTCCGCCGAGCCGCTGCGGGCAGGGGGTGCAGCAGACTTCTCTTGCCAAGAGTCGACTGGGCTCAACTCCAGTTAGTCGTGACCCGAATGAGGACAAGCGGGACAGAAATGAAACACGTGACAACTTGTGTTGTTGCGTCCAAATGTAAACAGTCACGACTTTCCCGCGCCGTTAAAAAGTTCCACGCCCGACCTTCAATTAGTCTGGCAGCAGTTAACGCCGATGGGTCTTTTCTCTCCTGAGGCCTGTAAATCTT